GCCGACGGCCGGGCGCGAGGGCCTTCGTCGGCACCGTCTTCGACGAGACGGGCGCCGGCGTTTGGCGCGCAGGACTCGCGCGGGACATTGTGCAGTAGTAAGTCGCGAACCCAGCCCAAAAAGGCTTCCCCGCTTTCGAATACCCGCAATTGCGATGTACGTCGCGGGCGCCAGGGGTGCAACGCGCCACGTCCACCCGGTGGCTGACGCGCCGCGTGTGCCGAGTTGCGGGCTCGTTGCGAGCGTTTTCGCGCGCGCGTCACGCGCGCCGCCCTTCTGCCGCCCCTTTTGACCGTTCGTGCGCTGGTCGCGCCCGATGCGGCGCCAGCATGTCAATCCATGTCGATTTCGCGCGGCAGGAGGGGGGGGGGGGATGGGGGGGGATGGGGGGGGATGAGGGGGGGGAGGGGGCAGGAGGAAAAGGATGGAGGAGGAGGAGGAGGGCGATGTCCCTGCCTGGATCGCTGATGTTGCGCGCATGCGGTGGCCGCTAATTTGAAGCTTCTGACAACTATGGCGCCCAGTAGTCGCCCCCTGTGGGGCCACTATGGCGCCCTCTATGCCTGTCCGCCCTGTCGGGGAATATTATTTCGGCATCGTCTGAGTTCTCTCCAGGGCGCTGCTTTCCCTTGGTACTGCAGGACAGAAGCGATTGTGGGCGCCATAGTGGTCGCGCAATGCGCGTCCTAGTGGCTTCCGTAGTGGCGCTGGACGCGCGACCCGCGAGGCGGGTCGCTCGGCGCTCGCAGGGAGCAGCGTCGGGGCGCCTCTCCCCGCGGGGGGTCGGGTCAGAGGTCAGCGCCCTGCCGGCCGCCGCCAGCTCCGCAGCTAGCTCGCGCGCGACCATGGTGCCCGAGCGCAGGATGTCACGTGCGTTTTCCCCTTCAGCTTGCGCTGTCGGTGCCCCGTGTCCATCGCCTACAATCGCGCCAAATGCGGGGGGCAATGTGCGCTTGTAGGCATGCGCTCTTCTGAGCCCTCGAGTCCCGTAGCGGTTGCTAGGCTCGGCGGAGCCCCGCCACCCAGGTCGGCAAGCGTATTTTTTCGGTGCGAGGGCCCGCGCGCGGGGCAGCGCAAGGGCGCGTTCCCTCGCCTTGGTTCCGTCGCGAAGATACATTCGGTTGTGGCGCGCGCTAGCCGCCCGCAATCCTGTCGCGAGCGCGAAACTGTCGTTCTGGGCGCGACGCGTCGGCGGCGCAGCGACGCGCCGCCTGACCTGCCGGCGCAAGAACCCGGAACAAGGCAATGTTAGTGGGCACCTCTGTGGGCAGCGCAACCCTTCTCCCTGGTCGGAGTCAGTGAAGTATAGGGCGCGAAGGTTGGATTCGAGACTTAGGCGTTTCGCGTTTAGGGGGATGCCGCGGGCCGCGCTTGTCCGAGCATTCCCGCCGGCATGTAGAACTGGCGTGAGCAGGGGGGCTCAGCGCGCGCGCCGCGCGACTGGCGCGAGGGCGGCGTCGTGCTGGAGACTGGCTGGGCGGTTCTCGTTGCTCGTTTATCTGGCGGTTTCCTCGGACTCCCGACGAGGCGCAGCGCGCGCGCCTGCGCGGCTGCCGATGCACCCCCATGCCGCCTGATGGGCCCGGGCCCCGCGTCAGCGCGAGTTATCAAATTCGTCGCCCGCGTTGCCAGCAGCCGCGCTGCCGACGTCAATGTGGGCCCGGACACCGCGGTCTCCAGCGGCGAGGCCGCTGGGGGCTGCCGCGGGGGTCGCGCTCTCCCAGCGCTCGGTCATGTCAATGGCGCTGGCCAACAGCGACGCACCGTCGGCGGTTATTGGCGGCTTGTCACAAGGTCGAGGCTTCGGAGGTCCTTGGGGCGGAGTTGGAGCGGTTAGCGTCCGCCGAGAGCCCGTGGGCTGTCTTTGCGAAGGGGGAGCGGGTGGCCGCCAGCACGGGGCGCCAGCCCCAGGAGTGCCCCGAACGCGCGGTGACCGTTCACCAGCGGCAGGTCGCGCGCGAGGCCTGCCACCGTTGCCGACGGGGGGCGGGGCCGGCCGAGCGCGCGATGCGTGGGGGGGCGGGGGGGCGACGGATGTGGGCGCGTGGAGTTGCGCGTAGGTCCCAACGGCGGGTCTTGCTTTCATGGGCGCAGCGGCGGGGCTCCGGGGGGCGACCAGCGGCGACGCCAGTGGGCCACTCAGGGCCGAGGCGACTGGCGGCCGCGCCGCTGGCGCTGCCCGCGTGTTTGTCGGCGACGTCGACACCGCCCTCGCGTCTGCGGCGACCGCGCGCAGTGCCGACGCGTCGACAAATTGGCTGCCGCGATCCTTGCGGAGCTGACTACCTGGGTCAATCACGCGTGCTTCGAGCGACGGCCCCGCTAGGGGGCGCGCAGAATAAACGGGGGTCAAGCGCGTCTTCAAGTAGGGGCATCGTAGAAAGGTAACAAACAACAATGCGGCCAGGACCACGTGGCGCAGGATTCCCTTTACAGGTTTCTGCGACGGCGCCGAGGCCTCGCAGACAGTCGCGGTCGGGGCTAGGCAAGCGCCGCGGACACTGATGCTCTCGGCGCTGGCGCGCAGTCCGGGCCGAGCGCGCGTCGCCGTGGACATCTGAGAAGCGCTTCTTCAAGGGGTGACCTGCGTGGAGATGCGCTAACTTGTTGGCGAAGCTCCCTGGGGGGTGAATTTCGCTGCCGCCGGGCGGCGCTGCGGTGCTCCAGCAGGTGCCCAGGTGCGACCCGTTCAACGAGCACCTGGACTTCCCGCGCCGCCGTCAGGCGGACATGGGGCGCAGGGGCGTTTTCCGTGCGTTCTCCATGAAGCTGGCGCGCGTGACCAGTTCAAAGGAGCGCAAAGCCCATCTCGCGACGCGGGGGCTGGATCTGGAGGGTGGCAACCGGCGCAGAAGCTGCCAGGGCTACCACGGCCACCGGCGGCGAAGCCGCCAGGGCTTCTCTGGAGCTGGCAGCGGTTCTCAGCAAACGCTTCAACGACCTGAAGAGCGCGGGGCCCCGGGGTGACGTTGACCAGCTGATCTCGCATATCAAACAGGTATTTGGGAATATGTTGGGCGAGTGACAAGCTTTCGCGCACTGCGGAGCGCGTTGGACTCGCGGCGCCGACGGCTCGGCGATAGCTGGCCAGGGCCGGGGTTGCGAAGCACTCATCCCGATCGGTCATGTCGACTTTGCGACGTCCACACGCGGATCAGCCAGCGGGGGACAGTCAGCCGAACCTCTTCGCTGGCTTGTTGGGCGCAACCGCCTTTGCGTTGATGGCCCGGCGCAACGTGACCGCGCGCGTCGTCGCGCCGCGGAGGGCCGTAACAAGCTGGTCATCAGGCATCCGATGGGGGGGCAATAGCGCGGCCACGTCAATGCAGAGTATTCATATCCGCATGGCGTCTGTGGCCGCGGAATGGCGCGGGGCGCCTGGTCGCGCGCAGTGCCGTAGCTTTCAGGGGGGGCCAGGCCATGGCATGAGAGGCGCAGCGTGCATGGGGATGGGCTGACGCCGCCTGACCGACAAGGAGGCCTGCCACCTGTTGGTCGCCGTGAGCAGGTCGCGCCTGGTCCAGGCGGCACCTTCGCGAGGGGGGCGGCTGCGATGTCCCGGCCGAGTTGGACATCGGCAGCATGTCTGCATGCCTGGCATCGCCCATCGGCCCGGTGAAAACGCCATCCGAAAATAACAGGAATTGACATTTTTTGTGGCTAGCAGATCGACCCCACACCAGGCAGATATAATACTTGCTGTGGCATGACGCCCGAGAGAAGCGCACCGACCCCTTCACGAATGGCACCATGTCCAGGGATCGCATCCCTGACTATACTCACACGCGGTGGTAGGACACAGCCTGGAGAAACGGATCCATCAGCGAGTTCGAGATTGGACGGGCTTGTCTACGATGTGCATGTACCGTGACGGTGCAAAAATCTTGCGTGGTAGAGTTGAGCAGTGGGGGCGGCAGCGTGGCCACTCGGGGCTGGCGGCATGGGCGCTGCCGGGGCTGCTGCTTCGCCGCCCGGGAGATCGCCCTTGCGAGTGCGCGGGAGCGCCGTCCTCAACTTGCTCGGCGCGGGCACGAGCCGAAACTTCACGACGAAAAAAATCCGTTTTTTTACGCGGTTAGTTTTGCCGCTTGTTCTGATAGTGGTACTGCAGCTAAGGACCTGAGAACTTGAGAGGCCGCGCCATAGCCTACTGAAGATGGAAACAATGCAGGGGTTGTGTAGCTTGCTTCTTGCTTCAGTTAGGTTCAAAAGACCATTATCATCTTTAAAGATGCGTTCCGATGGCCGACGCCCGGGGAATTCTGGGCCCGCCAGCAGATCGCGCGCAACTGCAGGGCCGGTGAGCTACAGTGGACACGTGGGGCTGCTGGAGCACGGCCAGGTGCGTGCGCGCCGAGGGCGCGACAGCCTGTCTTGTGGTGCATCGCACATCGGCGACACAATTGAAAGATCTGTTCCGCCCTGTCTTTAATCAGTGGACTAAGATGTTCGACATGTTCCCCCATCTTTTCCCATCTTTCCAAGTATCAGTTGAACTGGAAATTCGATCGTAGGAGAGTCCAAAGGACCATTTCGGGAGACCCATTAAGATTTCCAAATGTCAGTTGAAAGGGTGGCACGCCCCCGATCTTTGGAGCTGGTCTAGGCCAGGAGGGCGGCCCTATTCCAAAACGGGGACGCTTCCCACAAACATTGGTGTGCGTGTTGGGACTCCGAGCGAGCACCTATCCCTGACAGTACCTGATCGTGCCCCTTCCGCTGTCGTGCGGCCCCAGCGCGCACCTCCCCCGCCGTGGGTGCTATCTGTCATGCCGGTAGCGCGCATGCGCCTCTGATGAAAAGGTACCGTCATGCTAACTTGTCTTCCTGCTCCCATGCCCCCTTACCCTTCCTCTTCCCTTCCCTCCTGCTCCTGCTGCTCCTCCTCCTCCTCCTCCTCTTCCCTTCCTCTTCCCTCCCTCTTCCCTTCCTCTTCCCTCCCACCTGCTCCTGCTGCTCCTCCTCCTTCTCCTCCTCTTCCCTGCGCCCTCGCCCCCTAGGCGGCATGGACCATCGGCATGGTGGCGCTGTGTGTCCAGGGCCAGAGTGTGGCGGAGGTCGACACGACTCCGGGCTGGGTGCGCCTGGCCCATTCGATGTCCGGCGATGCGGGCCGCGTCGACCTGTCCTCCTCGGCTTCCCTCATCCAAGACGGGGGGGGATTGGTCAGAATGGCCTGGAGCACGTCGGGTACGCCGGCGGACGCCAACCTGATGTCCTCATACGAAAAGATTGTGGAGTTCCAGGTGCCTGGCGCCGTGACGGCCGGGTCACGGCCAACCGCAGGCCAGAAGTGCACAAACTCAGATTACTTCACGCTCGTGGATGTGACCTGCGTGCAGGGCGCGTGCAATATGCCCGCTCAAATGTACACGGGCACTGGATTCAACCGGATCTGTTATGACAACGCGTACGGGCTGGTGAACCTCAATGGCCAAGGTCACGATATTTGCGACTGGCACATGGATTCTCAAAACATCAATTCTCTCTATTTGGGAAGCTTCAGTGGAAAAGTTTGCAATGGCGTCAAGGACACTACGGGGGCCGTCACCACTGGCAGTGCGATGAACGCGGTCTCCATATGGTATCTAGGGTCGTCTCCCTCGGCCACTGGCGATCCCCACCTGCAGAACGTCTTCGGCGAGCGGTTCGATTTGATGAAGCCAGGCAACCATGTTCTGATAAACATCCCTCGCGGAGAGAGCGTGGAAAACGCATTGCTTCTTGTGACGGCCAGCGCGAAACGATTGGGCGCAGAATGCGCGGATGTGTACTTCCGAGAACTGAACATCACAGGGTCTTGGGCAGAGGCAACACAAGTCGGGGGGTATCGAAGACGCCTGCGGCGAATCACCGCTGCCCCCTGCCTCTTGAAAGTGCCGACGTGGCCTAAAGTTGTGGCCAACACTTTGACAAACTATCGGGCTGTGCTTTCCCCGAGCCGTAGTGGAACTCCTTCGGGGAAATATTTGGGGAACATGAGGGAGAGCATCAGGAGAGGGAGAGGGAGGAGGAGGAGGAGGAGGAGGAGGAGGAGGAGGAGGAGGAGGAGGAGGAGGAGGAGGATGGGGGAGGAGGAGGAGGAGGGGGGAGGCGGAGGAGGAGGAGGAGCAGGCGGGGGCGGGAGGAGGAGAGAAGGAGGAGAGGAGGAGGAGGAGGAGGAGGAGGAGGAGGAGGAGGAGGAGGAGGAGGAGGAGGAGGGAGGAGGAGGAGGAGGGAGGAGGAGGAGGAGGAGGAGGAGGAGGAGGAGGAGGAGGAGGAGGAGGCGGAGGGGGATGGGAGCCTCTCGTGGCACTCTTGGGGCCTCCTGGAGGCTTCCCGGGAGCCTCTTGGGAGCCTCTTGGGGACCTCCTCGGACCTCTTGCTGGCCTGTGGGGGCTTCGGGCCTTTTGGACGTCCTATGGCGTTCCTGGCCATTCTGACGCCAGCTGGAGCCGTCTTAGGGGGTCTCTATCTTGGGCCGTCGTCGGGCCGTCATGAGGCCGTCTGGGAGGCTTCTTTGACGCTCTGGGGGCGATTTTTTGCGGCCTCCTGGGCCGTCTTGGGTCGTCCGAAGGCCGAAGAAGCACATGCCAATATCCTGCAAATTCCTGAGGCGAATCAATGATTTTGGCATTTTCGGGCATTCCTGGAGGACCTCTTGGAGGCCTCGTGAAGCCTCTTGAACCGTCTTGGAGACCTCTTGTGGGCCTCTTGGGCCGTCTTGAGCCATCTTGAGGCCATCTTGGGCCGGCTTGGGGGCATCTTGGGCAGTCTTGGGTGCATCTTGGGACCATTTTGGGCCCTCCTGGGGCCAGATTGGCCGTCTTGGAGGCGTCTCGGGACAGTCTTGGAGGCCACCTTGGGCCGTTGGCAGTCTTGGGGCATTTTCGGGAGAACGTTGGGGTCTTCATGGGTCCTTCCGCGCGGCTGGCACGATTGCCCGAAACCCCGTTGGGAACCAGGTTTCAAACCAACCTGAAATTTGGCATGCCGTGCGCCCATGTGGTAAGCCAACAAGGGCCGCTTGTGGACTTCCTGGGAGCGCGGCGTTGACGACGGTCCACGAGGCCCCCAAGACCGCCCCCAGACGGCCCGGGCCCCAATAGGACTCCCAAGAAGGCCCGGAGACGCCAAATAGAGAGCGATCGGTAACGCCAAAAGCTCCTCACACCAAGGCTCCCAAGAGCGAACGGTGACGTAAACAAGCTGATAAGACCCAGGCTCCCAGCAGACAGCGGTGACGCAACAAGTTCCTGACACCAGAAAGAGCGTGTTCTACCGCTGCTGGCGGAAAACCGGGGGGGGTCACTACCGGTTCGAACCCCTCCCCCCCTCCCCTTCAAGAAAACCGAGGGGGGGTCACTACCCGTTCGAACCCCCCCCCCTCGAAAACCGGGGGGGGGTCACTACCGGTTCGAACCCCCCCCCCCCCCTCGAAAACCGAGGGGGGTGCGGGGGTGGGGACAGTGGTGAGGGGACAGCGGGACAGTGGTGGGGACAGTGGGACAGTGGTGGGGACGGTAGTGGTGGGGACAGTGGTGAGGACAATGGTGGGAACAGTGGGGACAGTGGACAGTGGTGGGGACGGTGGTGGTGGGGACAGTGGTGTGGGGACAGTGGGAATGAGGTGGAAACAGTGGGACAGTGGAGGGTACAGTGGTGGTGGGGACAGTGGTGAAGGCGGTGGCGAGGACGGCGGTGGGACAATGGGACAGAGGTACAGTGGGGACAGTGGTGGGGACAGTGGGGACAGTGGTGGGAACAGTGGGAGTGGGACAGCGGAGGAGTCAGTGGGACAGTGGGGACAGTGGGGATAGTCGGGCAGTGGTTGGGGCCGTGGAGAAAGTGGGGAGAGTGGAACCGTGGTGGGAACAGTGGTGGGGACAATGGGGACAGTGCGACAGTGGTGGGGGCACTGGTGGGGACAGTAGGGACGGTGGTGGAACCAGTGGGGACAGCGGTGGTGAGGACAGTGGTGCTGGGAACAACAGTGGGGGATGTGATGCGGACGGTGGTAGGGACCGGGAGTCGTTTGCTGGCGGTGAGTGGAGGGGGTGGGGAGGGGTTCGAGCCAGTAGTGATCCCCCCCTCTGGTTTTCGAGGGGGGGGGGGTTCGAACCGGAAGTGACCCTCCCTCTGGTTTTCGAGGGGTAGGGGGGGGGGGGGTAGGGGAGGGGGGGGGGGGTTTTGCCGGGGGAGGGGGGGGGGATTTTCGGAGGGGGGGGGAGGGACCCCCGGGTTCCGGAGGAAGAGGGGGGCAATTTTCCACAGTAAAGCGGCGGTGGATCACGCTCTCTCTGACACCAAGGCCCAGCCAAGGTGCAGGAACCGGCGGCAACGCAACCATCTCTGAACACCAAGGCTCCCAAGAGCGAGGGGTGACGTAACCAGCTCTCAACGCCAAGGCTCCCGGTACGAACGATGGTGTGCGTAATTTCGGTTTCTGTTGCTGCAGCGCTCTTTCCGTTTCTGTGCCGGGCCAGGTAACGGAAAGAGCGAGGTATGAGCGATGACGTTGTGTGTTGGGCGAAGCCCCTTAAGAGGGGGTTCCAGGGGGGGGTAGCGCGGCCGTTTGCGGTGTAATGGCCGTTTTGGGTTTTTTCCTTAGGGTTTCTGCATGCTTTTCGGATTCTCCCCCAAGACGGCCCAAGAGCGCTCCAAGAGAGCCCAAGACCGCCCAAGACTGCCCAAGAGGCCCCCAAGAGGCCCCCAAGAGGCGCCCAAGGGGCGTCCCAAGAGGCCCCAAGAGGCCAACATCAGCGATTTTCCAGAGGAAAGCGTTTTTTAGCATCTACGGCTTTTCGCCTTTCACGGCGTTGACGACGGCCCAAGAGGCCCCAAAACCGCCCCAAGACGGCCCAAGAGGCTCCCAAGAGGCCCCCCAAACGGCCCAAGAGGGCCCCCAGACGGCCCAAGAGGGCCCCAAGACGGCCCCAAGAGGGGGACCACGAACCGAAAAGTCCAGCCTATCGCCCCAAGACGCTCCCGGGAGGCCCCCACAGCCCCCCAAGAAGCCCCAAGAGGCCCCCAAGAGGCGTCCCACGAGGCCATCAGGAGGCCAGAATCATATTTTCTATAGGAAAACGTGCATTTTTAGCATGCACGGCTTTTCGGCTTTCACGGCGTTGACGACGGCCCAAGAGGCCCCCAAGACTGCCCCAAGACGGCCCAAGAGGCTCCCAAGAGGCCCCCAAAACCAGAACACCACCGCAGATGATTCCGTACAGCAGGCGCGCCGGACCGGAACGGAAACGGAAAACAGAACCCTGGAGCAGAGAACGAAAATCCGTTTTCCGTTTTCCGTTTTCCGGTTTCCGTTCCATGGTTTCCGTTTTCCGGTTTCCAGTTTGGGCAGAAAGCGAAATTGCGTTTTCCGTTTTCCTTTTTCGGGTTTCCGTTTTCCGTTTTCCGGTTTCCGGTCTCTGTTTTCCGTTTTCCGGTTTCCGGTTTCCGTTTTCCGTTTTCCGGTTTGGGCAGAAAACGAAGTTCCGTTTTCCGTTTTCCGGTTTCCGGTTTCCGGTTTTCCGTTTTCCGGTTTCCGTTTTCCAGTTTTTGGTTTCCGTTTTCCGGTTTTGGCAGAAAACCAAATTCTGTTGTCCGTTTTCCGTTTTCCGGTTTCCGTTTTTTGGTTTCCGGCTTCCGCTTTCCAATTTCCGTTTTCCGCTTTCCGTTTTCCGGTTCCCGGCTTGGGCAAAAAAGCGAAGTTCCGTTTTCCGTTTTCCGTTTTCCAGTTTCCGTTGTTCGCTTTCCGGTTTCCGGGTTCCGTTTTCCGTTTTCCGGTTTCCGTTTTCCGTTGTCCGTTTTCTAGTTTGCGTTTTATTGCTTGCCGCCCGCGCCCAGCACAGGCCCCCCCCCCATTCTTGTCGTCAAAAGCTGGTACACCGAGGGGCCGTTCTTGTGGAGTTGGGCTTCAGTTTACTTTCGGTACGCCTCGTCCAGACAAGCTCAACATTTGCCAGGGCACAAGTCAAGAGGTCGACAGTTGCATTCGAATGCCTGGTGACTGTACGGCACCACGGGCACCGGCGGATTGGCGCCAGAAGGTCCAGACTCTCCGGCCAGAGCTTCGCTACTCTCCCCGTCATCCACGCCGTCATCCTCGTCATCGGCCGCCTTGTCGTCGCCCACTTCTTTTTGTTGGTTTACGTTCGAGCCTAACGGACAAACGCGGCGCTCTGCGTTCTTGTCCGATCAGGTTGGCGCCAGAGGGTCCGGAATCTCCGGCCAGAGCCTCGCGAGCCGATGGCGGTGCTGATCGCCCCCCCGACCCTCTCTCGCTGCGCCGGGCGGCCTGGCCGTTGCCGCTCGGGCGGTGCGGCAGGACGGCCCTGCCAGGCCAGCTCGTGGGTTCTCCGCGGCATGGCCAATGAGAGCTGGGACTGGGAACCCCGGATCTCTGGGCTCCGCCTCGATGGCAGGGGCCCCGAAACAGCTCGGGGAAGCTGGGCGACCACACGAGCGGCTCTCAAAAGCGGGCCTCACGCGAGATGGCACAGCGGCCTTACGCCACAGCTTACGCGGGACGCGAGCGCGGCACGCTGCGTTTTTTCCACGATCAAGAGCGGGCCCTACGCGAGATTGCATAGCGGCCTAACGCGGCGGCTTGAGCGGGCCGCCAGCGACGATAAGATTTGTTCGATCTGGGCCGCGTCCCTCGATCTCGACCTCTGGGGCCCGTCTTTCGGGCCTCGGGGCCACCAGCATGGGATCCACGGGGCGAGGCGCTACCCCCAGGGGCAGGAGTCGGGAGCTGCTGGGGGGTCGCGGATTGAACAAAAAATCAGACAGCCGGACCGAGGTACAAGATCGAGGTCGGCTCGTGGAGGGTAACCTATTGTTCTTCGTGTTTGTGGGAT